CCCCTGCATGGGCAGGGACACCTCCCAGCAGCCCAGGCTGCTCCAAGCCCCATCCAACCTGCCCTTCAACACCCCCAGGGATGGGGCAGCCACAGCTTCCCTGGGCAACCTGGGCCAGGCTCTCCCCACCCTCACAGCCCAGAATTTCTCCCTCCCATCTCAGCTCCAGCTCCCTCTGCCAGCTGGAAACCCTTCCCCCTGCTCCCATCCCTCCCTGCCCTTGTCCCAAGCCCCTCCCCAGCTTTCCTGGAGCCCCTTCAGGCCCTGGAAGCTGCTCTCAGCTCTCCCTGGAGCCTTCTCTTCTCCAGGCTCAACACCCCAACTCTCCCAGCCTGGCTCCAGAGCTGCTCCAGCCCTCCCATCATCTCCGGGGCCTCCTCTGGCCTCTCTCCAACAGCTCCGTGTCCTTCCTGTGCTGGGGACCCCAGAGCTGTTCCCAGCCCTGCAGGGGGGTCTCAGCAGAGCAGAGCAGAGGGGACAATCCCCTCCCTGGCCCTGCTGCTCACGCTGCTGGTGACACAGCCCAGGACATGGGGTTTCTAGGCTGCCAGAGCACCTTGCCAGCTCATTAATATCCCCAGATATCACCAAGAGAGGCTGATGGAGGCTGAAAACCTGCCCTGGCAAGACTCTCCATCCTGTGGAATGTAGGATGGTGGGTGTTGTTCTCACCCACCATGGCTGGCCCATTGATTGCTCATGAGTGGACTGGTCTTCCCCAATCTGGAATGCAGTTCCTTGCTCAGGCACTGTTAGTGCTTCTGGACCTGAAAGAGCCACTTGCAAGCTCTGCTCAGCACCCACCAGTTCCCAGTGGCACAAAAGCCTTTTCTCTGGTGTCTCCCAGGACCAGGACCTGGTGGGAAGCTGGAAAGGGGGAGTGTGATGCTGGGCCCAGATCCAGGCTCATGCTGCAGCTCTGCCCTCCCTCCATGCTGGGCTTTTGGTAACACCAGAGCCAAGCACACCAAGGCACTGGGTCAAGAGCTGTGGATGGACCCTCAGGTGGAGACCTTCTTCCACTGGCTTGGGGATTAGTCTGGAAAACATCATTGCTGTGGTGATTTGAGCTGAAAACAAGGGGCCAAGGCCAGTCTGGACCTCAGTGCATCCCAGTCCTACTACAGTCAGTGGGTTTGCACCCATTTGCTGCAGGGCTTCATTTTTGCTGCTTTGCAGAAGGGTAACAAAAGCTTGTTGGGCAGCCCAGAGCTCAAGAGCAAGGTCCTCTGCTCCATGCAGCAGTTTGCTTTGCCTTCTCCTCAAGCTTTACCCTCAGCCAACCGAAGCCAAGAGGTTTGAACCTGGGATTTCCTTAGAAAACCCACCCACAGCAGCTTCTCCTGCCATCAGGAGGCCAAACCACTGTGCAGAGGCCATGAAGAGGGAGAGGAAAGTCTGGTAAACGTGAGGATCTGGTGGAGGTTGCTGCAAAGCCAAGTCCTTTGCTCCAAGGCACCTCCGTGGGGTCCAGGGAGCAGGGTCTAGCCACACAGCTTCTTCTTTCTTCCTCCTCCTGAGCAGGGAGAAGACCCTCCTCAGGCAGCCAAAGAGAAATGTCCCAAGGAGCAGGATTTGTCCCGGAGCCTCTGGTCTCGGGGTGGTTTTCAAAAAAGGTTCAGACCAGCTGTTGCAGCAGCTGTTGCAGCAGCTGCCACCATCAGGCAGAGCCCGGCGTCAGTGGGTTTGCACCCATTTGCTGCAGGGCTTCATTTTTGCTGCTTTGCAGAAGGGTAACAAAAGCTTGTTGGGCAGCCCAGAGCTCAAGAGCAAGGTCCTCTGCTCCATGCAGCAGTTTGCTTTGCCTTCTCCTCAAGCTTTACCCTCAGCCAACCGAAGCCAAGAGGTTTGAACCTGGGATTTCCTTAGAAAACCCACCCACAGCAGCTTCTCCTGCCATCAGGAGGCCAAACCACTGTGCAGAGGCCATGAAGAGGGAGAGGAAAGTCTGGTAAACGTGAGGATCTGGTGGAGGTTGCTGCAAAGCCAAGTCCTTTGCTCCAAGGCACCTCCGTGGGGTCCAGGGAGCAGGGTCTAGCCACACAGCTTCTTCTTTCTTCCTCCTCCTGAGCAGGGAGAAGACCCTCCTCAGGCAGCCAAAGAGAAATGTCCCAAGGAGCAGGATTTGTCCCGGAGCCTCTGGTCTCGGGGTGGTTTTCAAAAAAGGTTCAGACCAGCTGTTGCAGCAGCTGTTGCAGCAGCTGCCACCATCAGGCAGAGCCCGGCCAGACCCAGGCTGAGCAAAGCTCCACAGCCAACCTGTTCTTGTCCCCCGAGTATCCAAGGCATCTCCTGCCCAACAAACAGAGCCTGAGTGAGAGCCAGGTCCCCTGGGAGGGACACCAGGGTCTGCAGGCTCCTGGGGACAGTGGCAGGTGGGGTGGGAAAGCAGGGCCAGGTGGGCACGTCCGGATGGGTTCAAGGGCTCCTTCCTGGTGTTTGTCCCCAGCCCTAGTGGGCTGGCATCCAGCTGGGCTCCATCAGAGAGGAACCAGCCTCAGCACTGTGTCAGTTCTGTGTCTTCACCTTTCCTCCTGCCACCCAGCTCCAAGTCATGCAGCTCCCAGGAGCCCCAAAGGCTCAGAGCAGCTGTCCTGGTATCACAGACTCTTTACCACCAAGCTGATGGTGAGCACCTTGTTCACAAGGGTGTGCAGTGATGGGGTGAGAGGCAATGGCCTTAAACCAGAGTAGGGTGGATTTAGATTGGACATTAGGAAGAAGTTCTTCCCACTGAGGGTGGTGAAGCTCTGGAACAGGTTGCCAAGAGAGGTGGTGGAGGCCCCATCCCTGGAGACACTCAAGGTCAGGATCAGAGAATCATCCTGGTTGGAAGGGACCTTGAAGATCATCAGGTCCAACCATAACCCAACTCCTCCCACCACAGCCTGATTTACCTGTTCAGTGCTTCAATCATGTCCCTCAGCACTGTATCTACATTTCTTTTAAGCATTCCAGGGCTGGTGACTCCACCACCTCCCTGGGCAGCCTGTTCCACTGTCCAGCCCCTCTTTGGGCAAAGAAATTCCTGCTAATATCCAGTTTAAACCTCCCCTGGAGCAGCTTCAGCCCATTCCCTCTGGTCCTGTCATTCACTTGGGAGAAGAGCCCAACACCCACCTCCCTACACCCTCCTTCCAGGCAGTTGTAGGGAGCAATGAGGTCTCTCCTCAGCCTTCTCTTCCTCAAACTAAACAATCCCAGTTCCCTCAGCCTCTCCTCACAGGACTTGTTCTCCAGACCTTCCCATGGCAGAGGCTGCAGCTGCTGCAAGCAGTTCCCTGCTGCCTCCAAGTCCAACCTCAGCACTTCCCATCCCACCTCCCCATCCCCTCTGGAGGAGGAGGAGCTGCTCCATTTATCTCCCAACACTCAAGATCCTGGCACGTGTGGCCACACTCTTCACACACCTTCCCTATCACCCTTGGCCAGGCTGCCTCTTGTGGCCTGAGCAAAGTGTCAGGACTTGAGTTCTGATGGTTTTTTTAGCAGGATCTCAGCTTCAGGGAGAGGGCTGGGCAGAGAGGAGCCAAGTCCTGGCTCAGGGCATTGCTGGAGGCTCATGGAAAAGGAACATCCCTCTGGGGCTGGCAACTGGGAGAAGATAGACAATGGATGGGTGGATGGGCAACCCATCATGGGGATGGGCAAGGGATGGGTAGGTGGGCAACCAACCCATCATGGGGATGGGCAAGGGATGGGTAGGTGGGCAACCAACCCATCATGGGGATGGGCAAGGGATGGGTAGGTGGGCAACCCATCATGGGGATGGGCAAGGGATGGGTAGGTGGGCAACCCATCCACACTGAGAACTACACAGCATCCTGTCCACTGTCACAGCCCTCAGGTAGAGCATCCAGGACCATGAGAGGTCCTGCCAAGGTCATTGCAGCTCATTGTGGAAGGCAGACTCTTCCTGCAGCCTAGAAAGCAAGTGCCCATCTCCAGGGCACAGCTCTACACAGGATGGCCTGGAGAACATGCTGTGGGAGTTTCCAGTTGTACTTGGCTCCTGGTGCAACCCAGCCAGATGGGCACATCTCAGCCCTGGGTTCAGCTTCCACTTAAATCCAAGCAATCACAGAATCACAGGGGTTGGAAGGGACCTCTGAAGATCATTGAGCCCAGAGCAGGAACACCCAGGGCAGATCCCACAGGAACATGTCATGAAGACCAGCAGGAGCCTGCCCACTGGCATCCCTGATGGCTGTGCTCTGCTGGGAATGCCCCCAGCTCTCTCCCATCATCTCCTGGCTGCAGCAGGGAGAGGCCCAGCCAGGCAGGGCAGGAGCTGGATGCTGGAGGCACCACAAGACCCAGGCACCCAGCAGAATCATAGAATCATAGACCCATCCAGGTTGGAAAAGCCCCTTGGGATCACCCAGTCCAACCATCATCCCTGCTCTACAAAGTTCTCCCCATAACCATCTCCACCAACACCACACCCAAACCACCCTTCAACACCTCCAGGGATGGTGACAAGAAGTTGGGACCTACCAAATGGTTTATGGAACTCAGGTCAGTGCCACCACCTTGACACTGGGTTTGAAATGCCAAGAACTTCTGGAGCCCAAGAGCTGGTGCTGATGTTGCCTTGCTGAGCTCCCCCAGGTCCTCCACCACCAAACCCCACCTGCTTTGCAGCAGGCACGTGTGGGGAAAGGCTCCTTGTTGCCCTCTCTACTGACCATCTGCCCCACAATGTCTTGGTGGAGCTCAGTGATTCCTTGGCTGGTGTGTTCAGTGTCCTGGTGGGAACTTCCCACACTTTCCTGAACTGAGCATTTCTATCTTTGGTGCACACAAACAGGAATCATTTGCCTTCCTTTTCCCCAGCCTGGGAGCTGGATTTTGGATTCCTACCCCAGCCCCACAAGTCAGAGAGGTTGTGGGTTCCTGGAGGATCTTAGAAAGGAGAAATGGAGACAAGGATCAGACCCAGACCCCACCTCAGTTCCCAGAAAATGCTGATGGAACAGACCCAGTTTGCAGCAGAAATGTGGAGAATCCCTGTGTGGTGGAGCTCAGTGATTCCTTGGCTGGTGTGTTCAGTGTCCTGGTGGGAACATCCCAGACTTTCCTGAACTGAGCATTTCTATCTTTGGTGCACACAAACAGGAATCATTTGCCTTCCTTTTCCCCAGCCTGGGAGCTGGATTTTGGATTCCTACCCCAGCCCCACAAGTCAGAGAGGTTGTGGGTTCCTGGAGGATCTTAGAGCTTGGTGGAGCTGGGTGCTGCAGGGACAACACTGCTCCTCCCAGCAGGCAAATGCCCACCCCAAGGATCCCCATGGGGAGTCCACCCAGCACCAGCTCGTGGGATCTCCAGGGAACAACCCACCCTTGGAGCATCTTGCTTGTGCTGTCCCCACCAGGGAGGAGAGGCAGGTGAGTGCTTTGTGCTCCAACCCTGAGTGGGGCCCATTTGCAGCCCACCTTGCTCTACACTGGGCCAAGCCCCCAGCTCCGTGGTGGTCCTTGGTCACTGGGCAGGGAGGACCCAGAACCATTTCAGAGGAAGCTCAAACTCCTGCTCTGATAACCTGATCCTGACAATAAACCAGCCCACCACAGGCTGGTACCCACCAATGGTCCTCATGAGGTTTTGTGGGGTTCATCACACCCCTCAGCTCAGTGATTCCTTGGCTGGTGTGTTCAGTGTCCTGGTGGGAACATCCCAGACTTTCCTGAACTGAGCATTTCTATCTTTGGTGCACACAAACAGGAATCATTTGCCTTCCTTTTCCCCAGCCTGGGAGCTGGATTTTGGATTCCTACCCCAGCCCCACAAGTCAGAGAGGTTGTGGGTTCCTGGAGGATCTTAGAAAGGAGAAATGGAGACAAGGATCAGACCCAGACCCCACCTCAGTTCCCAGGAAATGCTGATGGAACAGACCCAGTTTGCAGCAGAAATGTGGAGAATCCCTGTGCCAGAGCCAAGGAGGGAGGCAGAAATCCAGCCCCCAGGCTGGGGAAGGGGAAGGCAAAGGATTCATCCATGGACACACAGAAGGCAGGAATGTTCAGGTTAGGAAGGTCTGGGAAGTTCCCACTGGGACACTGAAAACACCAGCCAAGGAATCACTGAATTACCATGAATTAATTAACCCCACAATTCAGAGAAGTTGTGGGTTCCTGGAAGGTCTTGGAAAGGAGAAATGGAGCCAAGGAGCAGATCCAGACCCAGCTCAGCCCTGAGCACCAGGGAGATGCTGCAGCAGCTGCTGATCCATCCCCAGTCACTTGGCTCATCACCCCATGGGTGCTCACAGGCAGATCACAGCCAAGGTTTGATTTCTCCTTCAAGCAGGCCCATCTGGAGGAGCTGAGCTACCTCTTCACTTAAGGAAGGATTGTTGGGGTGCAGGAGAAGACCCTGAGCCCTCCCCACCTCCCGTGGGCTCCCAGTTGGCTTACGGAGCAGCTGCACTGGACACACTGGTTGGGCTGGCGGCTGGGGAAGAGCTCACTGGTGGTGAACATCTCCCCTTGCTGGTAGGTGGTCCCATTGTACTGGCAGGACTTGACAGGTGCCCTGAGGCCAGAAGGGGAATGTGGCTCTGGAAAAGAAGATGTAAAAACAACAGGGTGAGAGGCAACTCTTGTCTGGCCCTGAGGCAGCAGGGATGAGTCCTACAGCCATAGGATGTGGGGTTGGAAGGGACCTTTAAAGCTCATCTAGCCCAGCCCCCCTGCAGTGCACAGGGACCTTTATGACTAGATCAGGTTGCTCAGGGCCCCATCAAGCCTGACCTTGAATGTCTCCAGGGATGGGGCCTCCACCACCTCTCTGTGCAACCTGTTCCAGAGCTTCACCACCCTCAGTGGGAAGAACTTCTTCCTAATGTCCAATCTAAATCCACCCTACTTGAGCCCCTTGTCCTCTTGATACTTGTCCCAAGCCCCTCCCCAGCTTTCCTGGAGCCCCTTCAGGCACTGGAAGGTGCTCTAAGGTCCCCCTGGAGCCTTCTCTCCTCCAGGCTGAACAAACCCAGCTCTCTCAGCCTGTTGGATGCTCAACAGATTCCCCACCAGCCCAGCCTACAAGGATAAGGAGCCCTGGACCCACCACAATTCTCAAGGACAGAGATGGGGATTTATGTGCCTAAAAGCTTTTGGAGAATCCACCTGCCCTGACCATGCTGAGCTCAGCACAGAGGTAAAGTCAGACCTCCTAGGGGTCTTGTCCCTCACCATGACAGAGTGATGGCAAAACTTGCCAAAAACCATCAAAGATTTGGGAAGTGAGGAAAAAAAAGTAGAAAGAAACACCCTCCTTTTTAATTTTTAGCTAATTACCCCCAGGAGATGTGAGAGGGCATCACACCCAGGGGAGGGAGAAACAAATCAATAATTTTGTTTAAAATCTTCAGAAATGGTTTGGGGTTTTGTTGTGTTGGGGTTTTTTTTTCTCCTGTATCCAACACATTTTGGTGGCAAATGATCTGAGTCAAGTGCCAGCTTCTGGTTTGTCCCTGCCATTTTGTCCCAACAGGGTTGGAGAAGGTGGTTGGGTTGAGAGAGGCCTTTTCCATCAAAATGGAGCATCTGTCTGTGAGAAAAGGCTGGGAGAGCTGGGGCTGCTCAGCTGGGAGAAAAGGAGGCTGAGGGGGGGTCTGATCAGGGCTTGTAAATATCTCCAGGGGGTCAGGAGGTGGGGCCAGACTCTGCTCAGGGGTGCCAAGGGACAGGACAGGGGGCAATGGGCACAAACTGGAGCACAGGAGGTTTGACTTGAATGGGAGAAAATAGTTCTTGCCTGTGAGGGTGGCAGAGCCCTGGGCCAGGCTGCCCAGGGAGGCTGTGGAGTCTCCATCCCTGGGGACATTCCAACCCCACCTGGATGTGTTCCTGTGGGATCTGCTCTGGGGGATCCTGCTCTGGCAGGGGTTGGACTGGATGATCTCCAGAGGTCCCCTCCTTACATTTAAATGGAACTTCCAATGTTCCAGCTTCTAACCCAACTCCCACCACTCTGTAATTCTCTGAAAATGCCTTTTTTTTTTCTTGGGGTAGGGGGTGGGGGGGGGAAACCCAACAAGAGCATCCCCAGCTGCTGTTGCTGCCCTGACCCTGTGAGCAGGGCCAGACCCAGCAGGGTCTGACTCCCCCCGTGGTGTGCCCCGCAGGACCAGCACCACCTTGTCACCCGTGGGATGTCCACCTTACCCAGACAGCGTGGGCAGCACTGCTGGGGGTCTGTGACAGGGCTGGGACACTGCAGGGCCGGGCACTGGATCCTGTAGCACCTGGTGTTGCCATTCTGGGGAAGAGAGAAAGATGGTTTGTTCCCCTGCGCGTTCACCCCTGCACCGGGAGGAAGACGTTGGGTGGTGGCCACGCTCTCACACCAGGTTGTGCTGGTGTAGATCCCTCAGCCAAGGATGTCTCCACCCTTGGCTCAACACCACGGGCTCATGTCCCACCACCAAAGACCACTCGTGGTCCCACAGCAGCCCTGAGCCACCTCCACTCACATCCCACCAACACTGCTGAGACAGCTCCCTCACCAGGTCAACCCATCCATCCCAGGAGGGCTTTTTTTTCCAAAGGAAAGGGATTAATCCAGCATCCCTACGGGACAGGGAAGGGCTCCTCTGGTCAAAGCAGACACCAGAACTCTTAAGAGCTGCCCAAGAGCTGCCCCAGCACAGCAGGGTTCCCACCACCTCCCGTGGCACCTGCTGAGGACGTGCCTCGGAGCAGCTGCAGCGGATGCAGTACATCAGCCCCTGGGGCTCCAGGTAGGGGTGCCAGCTCTCTCCTGGGCTGTACTTCTTGCCATTGAAGTCACAAAACGTATCCAGACCTGGAAATCAACCAAGAGAAGCTGCGTGTAAGAAAGGGATGGTCCTTGGGAGACTTCTCCTCCCCCTGCACTGAGCAGAGCAAGGCCAGCTCAGCACCTTCATGCTGCCCCCATCAGCAGCTGATGGTCACATCCCACCCACCAAACCCCACCTGAATGCATTCCCCAAAAAGCCTTCTTTTGGTTTTTTTGGCCACAGTTTGTGGGTTCTTTGTTGTTTTTTTCAATCTGAGACCCATCTGACCCACTGGCAACTCCTCTGTGCAAGCTGGACCTGCTTGGGAGGCAAAGGACAGGATGGGTGTCCCTCAGGCATGAGTTGTGTCTCTGAAAGGTGTGAGTAGCAGAGCTCCTCTGAGGATGGAGAGGTGATTTCAGGGTGATGCTGCAGGGCTGAATTTTTCCCAGAAGGGCTGGGAGTCGTGGGGGAATTAGGAGAGCCTGAATTTAGGAGGCATCTTCACTGTCACTCCAGAGAACAAGAAGGAAATACATTTGTGGGATAGAAACACATTCTGTAGGAAAATCTTTTGCTCTCCCTAAGAGCTTCAATTCATTCTGTCCAGCAGCCCTGGACAAGCACATGGGCAGCCAAGCACCAGCCCTAAGGACCATGCTGACTTGCCCCATCCCACCAGGCTCAGCCCCTTGGCTTTCCTGGGTTCAATGCAGAACTGGTCTGGTTGGACTGGATTGTGCTCTTCATTTATGGGCCTGTCCATGGGGACAGCAAGTCCACCCCATCCACTCCTTTCCCCACAAAAAACACAAACCCAAGTACTTTTCTATTCCTCTTTCATCCTGTCACCCTGAGAAGAGCCTGTTTCCAGCTGTGCTGAACTGGAGGTGTCTGTCCCAGAAACAATCCATGGCCTGTCTGCACAGCCATGGGTTTAACCCCACCAAGAGGGATGAGATGGTGCCCAAACATCTCCCCGTTGGATTTTAGCAGGTCCCTACCAACCTCCTCCATTTCCAAGCCCTTGGTCACACACCAGCCCTTTGGCAGGATGAGGCCAGCCTGCAGCAGGACAAACCATGGCCATAAGCACCACCACCAACCACAGGGCTTTGGCCAGAAAGCCCAATTCAGTCCTCTTTAATGGTCCTGCAGGACCAAGCTCCAACCCTGGCCTGACCTGCAGGAACCTGGACCTGTGACTCCCACCACAACCTGGCAGCTGCTCCTGCTCTCCTGTGGGTTCCCTTCTCCTGGAGAAGAGAAGGCTCCAGGGAGACCTGAGAGCAGCTTCCAGGGCCTGAAGGGGCTCCAGAAAAGCTGGGGAGAGACTTGGGACAAGGGCAGGGAGGGATGGGAGCAGGGGGAAGGGTTTCCAGCTGGCAGAGGGAGCTGGAGCTGAGATGGGAGGGAGAAATTCTGGGCTGTGAGGGTGGGGAGAGCCTGGCCCAGGTTGCCCAGGGAAGCTGTGGCTGCCCCATCCCTGGCAGTGTTGAAGGGCAGGTTGGATGGGGCTTGGAGCAGCCTGGGCTGCTGGGAGGTGTCCCTGCCCATGCAGGGGGTTGGAACTGGATGATCTTTAAGGTCCCTTCCAACCCAAACCCTCCTATGATTCTATGGTGTGTCCCCAGGCCCCAACCAGCTGGAGGGACAAGCTGAGGTTCAACCTCTGCCACCAATAAGCACAAGCCCCTGTGTGTTGTTAATGGTTTCAGCCCCTCTAAACACTGCAGGTGATTTACAGGGTTATGTCATCGAGGGGATTTGAGGTAGTTTGAGCAGTTCTGTTGCCCGGAGGCAGCAGAGACATTAACGCTCCTTGAAGCATTTATGGGTCTTTTAAAACCTTGTGGCCCCCTGGGGACAGAGGGAGAGAGGAGGTGGTTGTTTTCTGAGGCACAGTGCCCAGCTCCCACTGCCCATCACGTGAAGTCAGGCCAGTCAGCAGGTGCTGACCCCACCAAGCTGCTAAAGGACACTCCATGAATAGCAGAGGGACCCCAAAAGGAACTGGGTGGCACCCACCAGCCCAGTGATGCTCACAGCCATCCCGTGCTCTGCTCTGTCACCTGGGGCAAAGCAGAGTTCTAAGAGAGCCCAGCTGGCACTGTCCCACCTTGCCAAGGCTGGAGATGCCACCTGCTCAATGTGCTTCTCCCACCAACCAGGCAAAGCTCAAACACCCTCTGGTGGGCTGCCACCCCTAAACCAGCCCCTGAGCATCCTCAGGATGAACCCAAGTGATGCTCTACCACAGCCAGACCCCACGGCCACCAGGAAGGACAGGTCTATGATGATTCTTATGGGTCCCTTCCAACTCAGGCCCTACCAGCAACCCTGAGCTCCTCACTGAGTCAATGACTTCAAGCTTATGATTCTCCAAGTTGTGCCACCTCGTCCGAGCACAGCTACATGGGGCCAGTGGGGCATCTGCAGCCATGGAGACTTGCAACAGCCTGGGGGTGGATGCCACCAGGGGGACAGGCAGGAGGCTCTTCCCCACCCCAGGGTTTTGCACCATCCCCAGAGCTTGCTCCTAACTTCTAACAAGTCAACGAGCCCCTACTCACGCATGGCACGAGTTTGCAGGAAACCACGCCAGAAGGAGGAGCTGGAAACCTCAGAAACCCAGGAGAAAGGGAGAAGAGAAGGAAGAGATAGGAAAGAAAACCCATCCTCTTGCAAAAGTGTGAGAAAATGACTCCATTTTCCCCTGCTTGCAGCGTCCTTGGAAGAAACCAAGTCGCCTTCACGGCCCCGCTCAGCCCGCAGGCTCCCGTGCCAGGTGGCTGCTTCCTTCAAACATTTCATCACTTGGCCTTTCCCAAGTGGAGCCCTGGTTTGGGTCCAGCCCTCGAAAGCAGCCTGGTTCATGTCTGCAAAGGGCCCACTGGGAAAATTCACTGGCAGGGCTGGGCAACCCCAGACACTTGTCCGCGCCTCGGTCGCTCTCCTCGGCGAGAGGAGCCAGCACGTTGGGTTAAAAGCAGGCTGGGGATGGGTGGCTTGAGCATTTTTGGAGGCTTCGGATCATTTTTTCCCCATGGCAGGCTAATAATTCCATGTTCAGAGGTCAAACTTTGGCTACCTTCCCAACTCCCCGGGAGTGAAAAGCCATTTGTGGCAGTAAATTGCTCCCGTGCCGTCCAGGCTCCGAATTTATTGCGCCTTCAGCAGCAACACCCTCACAAAAGTCACCTTGTTTCACTTCTCCTTTTCCAGAGAGGGCTCTTGAGCTGTGGAGCCTCTTCCAGGCCACAGCACCAAAACCCCAGGTGAAGCCATCACCTTGTTTTCCTTCCTGAAGACCCTGGGCAGGAGAAGACAGCAGACCAGCCTAGTCCAGGACACCTCGGAGACACAACCAGAGTTTGCTGGAAGCTCCACACTTGGAGGTGGTTCTTGGGACCTGGAAGCACCAGCAGAGGTGGAAAGGGGCAAACACCTCCCATTGCAAACACCTCCAAGAACAAGTCCCATCTAACCAGTTTCTTCTCCGATACAAGAAGCCCTCAATACAAGACTCTGCTCTTCAGAGAACCATTATGGGTCAAATGAACTAGAAAAACCAACTGGAGGCCATGGAAATGATTCCTCTGCAACTCAGAAACGAGTCCTGTGGCCTCATACCTAGAGGGAGGGTGAGAGATGCTGCAGGGAGCAACTCCTCTGTGCAGTAGCAGCTCTGTCTTGCACACCCTCAAGGGCTCTGCTGGAGACATCATGGAGGAGGAAGGTTTCTCCACACCTCCCTGTTCAACAGCTGTTTTCTGCCACGGCTTCAGTGTTTTCTTGGGTGAAGACCACTTGATTATAACCAAATAATTGAGTACTCCAGGCCAGGGTCCATACCCACCTGCTGGAACCACCCTGGTCCAGCTGTCCCAAGGCATTTGGCAAAGTATATCAGGCACTGAACAACACCATGCTGAGAAGAGCACACACAGCAAGAGTCTGGACATCCCTGGTCAATGCTCAAGGCTGTACTCATGCCCTGGTTTACTTTGATTATCATTAATTGTCATTAATTACCATTAATTTCATCCTGGATAGCAAGGAGCGGAAGTAATATGAAATGGAAAGTACAACAGGGAGGCTGAGGCAAGAGGGGGCTCCTACCAACAACCAGTTTAGGTCAGACATGAGGGACTTGGAGCAACCTGGTCTAGTGGAAGGTGTCTCTGCCCATGGTGATCTGTGACCGTGGCAGGGAGAAGAAGAAGGCATCAGCTTGGGGCAACTTCTGGAGGATTAAGGACCTGCATTGCAGGAAGCTTCCCAGCTACCAGGAGCCTAAAAGCCCTGGAAGAGGCTGTCATGGAGGCTCTGAGATAGTCTGTGAACCCCCTGGAGCAACATCTTCATGTCAAGAGACAGCAGTCCAGAGTGACATAGGGAATGGCATGGAGAAACCTCTCCTGCACTGCCTTGGGTGACCACTGACATCCCTCTCACACCATGAGAATATCCCTGAAGCCTCCTGGGGATGTATCTCAACAGTTTCACACACCAAATGCCACACCATCCTGCATCTTCTGCAGCTCTGCTCTGGAGCCAGGCTGGGAGAGTTGGGGTATTCAGCCTGGAGAAGAGAAGGCTCCAGGGAGACCTCAGAGCACCTTCCAGGGCCTGAAGGGGCTCCAGGAAAGCTGGGGAGGGGCTTGGGACAAGGGCAGGGAGGGATGGGAGCAGGGGGAAGGGTTTCCAGCTGGCAGAGGGAGCTGGAGCTGAGATGGGAGGGAGAAATTCTGGGCTGTGAGGGTGGGGAGAGCCTGGCCCAGGTTGCCCAGGGAAGCTGTGGCTGCCCCATCCCTGGCAGTGTTGAAGGGCAGGTTGGATGGGGCTTGGAGCAGCCTGGGCTGCTGGGAGGTGTCCCTGCCCATGCAGGGGGGCTGGAACTGGATGATCTTTAAGGTCCCTTCCAACCCAAACCCTTCTATGATTCTCCCCCATCTCACCCCGGGGGGTTTTCCCTCCATCCCTGTGTCCCCAGGCAGCTCCCCCAGCACTCTCCTCCAGGCAGGGCAGGGCTGAGCTGGGATCCTGGCCCTGACAGCTTTTTTGGAGGTCACCCACCTGCCAGGCAGAGCTGGGGGGGGGGAGTGTTTATGCAAAACCAGTTTGCGAGTTTTAAGAGAGGCCATAAATAAAGTGTAAAAAGCCCTGTCTGGGACACAGAGTCCAGGCGCTCCTATGACAGCCC